TTGGAACCCCCTCCAGCAAAATCCAACTGCTTTGTTTCCAAATCAAACCGTGAATCAAAGTTCCAAATCAGACCGGTGGGCTTCAAACTCCATCAGTGGCCGGAGTGACCTTGCATCCCCTTTTCCCCATCTGTACAATGAGGATGACCACAGTGCCTCCTTCGTAGTGTTAAGTGGAGAAGCCAGTTCATATTTGCAAAACACTTGGAAAGGTCCCTGGCATATGGTAAGCACTAAATTAGTGTTTGCTAAGGGAGCTAAATGTGTGAAAAAAAAGAAGTGAGTTCAACAGCAAGAGCAACAGAGAACTGTAGAGAATGGCAGACAGATGGAATTGGGCCGAAAAAGGACCCAAAATGGTGCCCTACACTGGACACCTGGTTCTTCAGGAAGGACAGAAAAGTGTCGTGCGATGTGAGAAGCAGAGTACCTTCTACGGCACGCCTTTGGTTTGCAGGAAGGTGGAAACCTTGTGCGCCCTCACCCCCTTCATGCCAAGGGCTGGGATTCTAGATCAGAAGCCTCACTGCCTCTTTCTGTCACACTGTTGCTCCCTCCAAACAACAGGGAAAGGGGGCCTTGAGTCATCTGCTGTGTCTGACATTTCCAGAGTCCAGGGACAGTCAAAGTTAGGAACCACCAAGGCTCCCAGAGACCACAGGGCTCACACTGCCAGATACTTTGCCTCATTACATATCGCAAGCCACACTTTTATCACGATCTTGATCCCAGCCCCCACTCAGAAACTTCCACAAACTCTTGGCAAAAGCCCAGTTCTGCCCTTCATCCAGAGCAAAGCCTCCTGCCCACACCGCGCCAATCCAGGCTCTTGGAGGCTGGGCACCTTTCCGGCTTTTCCTATGATTTCTCTTCTTTCCAAGACATGTCTACGTCTGCACGGCCTCCGGCCTGCCATTCAAATTCCGGCCTCCCAGCCTTTGCTGGGTGAACCCTTCCTCCCCACCTCCTCCCCGACTGTCTCCAGCTTACCTTTCTTGGCCCAGACCAATGACCACTCCTTTAAGACGTAAGTCTTTGCTAACAATTTCAGATCTCAGTAAACCATAGCGACTCTCTCCAATGACTTTGACTTTGGACTGGACTTAGGCTCTAGCTCTGCCTTAGGACATCATGAGTTCTGGTGCCCTGTGTGTTACCTAACCCTCTGTATGTGGTGTATGGCTGGAGGTGTGGCCTCTACGGCCAGCCGAAGTTGAGTCCCATGGGCCTCTGGGTGGTTTTTCTGTTGCCCCACCACATTAAGGATAGACTGTGTTCACAGCAGGTGAGCAGGGCGTTTGGTGATCAAGCAAACTCATGAACGCTTACTCACCCTGACACTTCCAATTATTGAAAGGAGCTTGCTGGCTTACTGACGATGGACTTCCGAGGGGGCCGAGGTCCTTCAAATCCCACTTCCCCAGTAGGCGTCACACATACATCTTACTCACCCTGCCTGTGAGCCTGTCACAGTTGGACAATTGAACGCAAAGACACCCATCTCCCCTTCTGCAAGGCTACCCACTTACCATGGTTCGGACACCATATTGCTTTTCCACTTTTTCCTTTAGCTGTTTGAAACAGGCTTCCATTCTCTCATGAAATGGCCTCAGTGCTTCTGTGACTTTGTCTCCATGAATCCTGATCCCTTCAGCCAAAAACGGAATCTGAAAAACATAGCAGTCAACACTCCTTATTTCCTGGTTAATGGTCTAGAGAGAGCCATGCACACCAGGCAGAAAGTGGCACTGTGTGCAAAATCCAACTGCTTTGTTTCCAAATCAAACCGTGAATCAAAGTCATCAGCAGGCACATGACCCCCAACGACCAAAATGTTCAAATTACAATCATTTGTGTTTTAAATTGGACGTGTCTCGTGCAGTGCTCAGCGCACGACGGCCACTCAGTAACTTGCCTGACTCCCATTGGCCGACCAATCCTAGAATAGACTCATCTGTGCTTTCCTCGTGAATTGGGGAAGAACTGCAGTTTGAATCTGTTTAGCTGTAACTTGATCTATTAGCAAAGGGTCGTGTCACAGTGCAAAGATTTTTTTTTTCTTTTTTAGCCCAGAATATTGCCTCTCTAGGCAATTGAGAACCCTATTCTAAAACTTAAAAATCTAATTACGTGTGATCTATAGTCCTGAAGGATCTTCTTATTTGGAAAGGAAAACCAAATTTATTCTTCCTTAAAACTAAAAGTAATCATTTCTCTGCCAACACTGCTGTCACAAAATATCCATGCCAACACTTCACTCCCAAGCGCGGAGATGGAGCTGACCTTTAAAAGCGTCGCAGGGAGACATTTTCATTCCCCAGCCCCAGAGACCCTCTAGCATCACTGCTGTTGGGGGCTGGAGGGGGTTCCAAGGAGGGCTTTCTTTCCCCAGCTTCTGCTTTCCCCCAGCACTTGGACCAAGAGTTAGACATTCTTCAGTGCAATCAAGCTAAGAGGCTTCCTCTTAATAATTTATAATTAAATCAAAATACTGATTAAAAACAGATTTTCCTAATATGACAGAACACCAACCTAAATGAGCAGATTTATTAGGAAGCAGGATAAAAGTACACAATTGAATTTCATGTGAACAAATCCGAGAAATCTTACCAAGATGAATCAATGCATAAAATGTATTTGGTTGCCATTTAGAGCACGCAGCTGTTGCCTCTTGTGGTCTCCAGGGAAAGACAAAAGAAGTGAGGACTCCCATGTCACAGCCCACCCAGCCTGCCCTCGGGCTGCACGGGCACAAAGCTTGTTTCGCTGACAGTTGGGCCTAACCCCAAGGTTTGGGCCAGGCATCCCTTTGCGGCCAGTTACTGCCTAAAGGACAGGGTGCATGCAGGTGAGCCTTCACAATGGATGAGATGTTTTAATATTCCGTATGAATTACTCTTGCAGATGGCAGCTTCCCCAGAGCTAGCCGCAGTGTGGTCAGGTTCAACAGTAGAAAATGCTCACATTAATCCTTTTGCTTCCTGAGTTCTGCCCTGGGGCACGGCACAGGCAGGCTGGGGACAACTTTTGGTGGGATGGTAAACGTGCTGGATCTATTTGGGTACAGAGGCCAGTATGGGGGGGCTGTCTCAAGGTTGAGACACAGCCACTTGAGATCTTGCAAGCATTTAGAATGGACCTTTTTCCAAATATACAAAATGCAGTCTAAATGTCTCTCCTTTTTTTTGTTGGTTTGATTAAAAGCCTTCATTGGCCAGATTCTTTGACCTCAAAGAAGCTACTTGCTGGACTAAAGTTAAGACCATTTGGTTTAAGTCCCTGGGGCTGCGTGAACTGAAATTTGGCAGGTGAAATTTAGGGGGTATGAGAATTGACCACTTCAACAGGTCCCTGACATTGTCAGATACAACCTTCTTCTAGGATGGGATCTGGCCTCTGTTCTACGTCTGACTGGGGCTGAGCCACAGCTCTGCATGAAAAGATGCTCTGTGTAAACACTCCAACATACTGGGTGCTTAACATACAAACACGAGCCATGGAACAAGGCCTGAAGTGATCTTTGGGGACCCTGTGGTTCAGTGGGTTCCAACCTGGATGATCATCAGAATCTCCCAGGCAGGTTCCTGAACCCCACCCTGGAGCCCTGATTTGCTCTGGGGTAGATCCCAGGAATCTGCATTTCTTAAAAGTTGCCCAGAGCAAGGAGAGGGGAGAGGACATCTCCAAAGTCACACCCTGGGTTGTTCAAAATGAGCACGCAGCCTGCTCTCCAAAGACACCCTCCTGAATAGCGGTGATGCATGTGAAATTCGCTCCTGTGGGTTCCCTGCACAAATGCATGGGCTACCAGCAGCACAGAACATTAGGAGGCACTGCTCAGCGCTCCAGGCACACCAACCCCGAGGACAACGGTCATGCCTGCATCAGCTGGGGATGACGAGTGAGTTTTGTCTTTTATCTCTGTGCATTTCAAAAGAGACATATGCACACAACACAGCAGTGTGGTAGGAGTCTGTACAGATTCATCTTTTGGGCATTGGTGGGGATGCTCAATAAAATAGCTGCATTTGGGGAAGGATGGAGCCGTGCCTTTGAGGAAGGGGCTGGAGCTCAGTCTGACTGGTGTCCGCTGTAAAACTAGAGGGGGCCCCATGCGACTGCAGCCACGGGCTCCCAGCTGGGAGGAGCAGGTCAGCACCGTCCTGGTTTGGGGATGGCAAGAGCAGAGCCAAGAGCTGCCTGGGACTTAACAACCCGCCTTCACAAACGATTTCAGCATTGAAATGTGCTTATTGCATATCAGTGATGGAAACTCTGCCAACAAGTCCTTGGGATTCCCCAGAGGAAACCTCACTCTGCCCTGATGCAGTTTCCAGAAAAAACCAAACCAAACAAATTAACAAACGAAAACAGAAGACATCATCCTGATAACCCCAAACTTATTTTTAATGACCATATGACTCAATCACTGATACTAAAATATGGGTTTGCAAACATTTGCAAATGAAAGGGAAATCACAGGTAATGTTTTGAATATGTATTTTTCATCACTCTTTGATTTAATGAAGTTGCTAGAAAATGGATTCTTTCAGCTTTCCTGTGAGCTGCTTTAAAATTCATCCTTTAATATAGTTATTAGGGGTGATGGACATAGCGCTGACATAAAGTTCTCTCTGGGGAACAAATTATTTTCCTCTGTAGGACTTGAAACTCTTAAAATCCAATTTGCTGTAAAAGCTTACAAGAAAAAAAAAAATCAATACAACTTTTGCAGACCAAACTAGTTTTTGTGTGGCAATGATTTTATAGCCTTCAATGGAGTTGGAATTTTGTACCCTTTGGTTTCTACATCTAAAATGGAATCATTCAGACTTTTAAACTCTCTCTCTTTTTGGAAACAGAGGGAGACGGTCTACATGAGGCTTACATTCCATGCGGAGAACCGTCCTTGGCCACTGAGCCAGCCCCCAGGGTTTGTTATCACAGAATAATTCTAATGCAAACAGATGTCTAGAGATTTGTGGCCAAGTCACACCCAGGAGGATGGCGATTGTAAAAAAACCAAAGCAAAACAAAACCAGAAACTGACAAGTGTTGACAAGGAGGTGGAGGATGTGGCTCCTCAAAAGATTAAAAAATAGAATTACCGTTGGATCCAGAAATCCCACTTCTGGGAATACGCCCAAAAGAACTGAAAGCAGGAAAATGAACAGACACGTGTGCGGCCATGTTCGCAGACAAGCAGTGGAAGGAACCTAAGTGTCCACAGATGGATGAATGGACAAACAAAGTGTGGTCCATCCACACAATGGAATATTATTTAGCCCAAAAAGGAAGGAAATTCTGACTCAGGCTACAACACAGATGAACCCTGAAGACACTGTACTCAGTGAAATAAACCAGTCACAAAAGCCATATGACTCTACTTATCTGAAGTACCTGGAACGATCAAGTTCATAGAGACAGACGGTGGAATGGTGGTTTCCAAGGGTGGGGAGAATGGAGAGTTGGTGCAGAGATTTTTGGCAAGATGGGAAAGTTCTGGAGATGCATGGAGGGGATGGTCGCACAACAATGTGAACATGCTTAATGCCCCTGATCTGTACTCCAAATTGGTTAAGATGTTACGTTTTATGTTAGGTCTATCTATACATAGATTGGAAGTGGGCTTGAAACCAAAGTTCAGCCCCACTCCACCCTACCAGGTCACACTGGTCAACGTGCTGTTGATAATGGAGAAGCCACTGGGGTGAGGCTCTGGGAAGGCCAGGGTCAAAGTGTCTCTTCAGAGGAACAGCCTCACCTACGTCAGGGCCCCAGTGGCAGCCTGGGACCCCCTGGCTCAGCGGAATGGCCTGGGGTACACTACCGCCAGGCACAGGGTGACCCCGGCCTCCACCTCCCTCAGCTCTCTGTGTGGGGATTAGATCAGACAGCACCCTCCTCCCCTCCCACACGAGAAAACAAAGCCCAAAACAGTGAGCTGTCCTCAGGACTGAGCAGGTTAGGCTCCTGGTTCTCCAGGAGAACCAGGTCTTGATGTCCCCTCCACCACCAGGCTCACAGAGGCTCTAAGACGCAGACCATGTGAACTAAACAAGTCACTTCCAACTGGACACCAGACGCCCTCCGGACCATGTCCTTCTAACAGCACGTCCCTCTAAGGGAAGACTCAGCGGCCTCACGAGCACGACTATAGACACACCATAATACACAGAATTACAGCTGGGAAAACACAGATGTGGATGCCCCCAACCCTGGCCACCACCACGGAGAACGTGGGGGGACGGGGCGCTCTGCCGTGGCCCACCAGCGCCTCCCACACGGATGGCACTGACATGAGCGCCTTTCCCACGACAGGCTAGAGCCAGGCTCTCGAAGACATCACAGTTCTCACCTTGCCTCTGATATTGTCAATACCAGACAGAGATCTGCCGGCAGAGACAGACCGGGCTCATTGGCAAGAGAGGACATCCTGTGTGTGCAACTTCATGACCACAGCCAAGGAGCTGAGTTAATCACGGCAGTGGGGGTGGTTCATCTGGGGACACCCGTGGCTACATGCACTGTGGCGGATGTCCCAGGCCCCCGTGCCGGCCGGCATGCATGCTGAGATGGCCCAGGCGGACGCGGGTCTAGCCTCGGATGTGGGTCTAGCCTCCCCGCTCCAGGCCTGCAAGGCTGCCATCACACACTTACCTGCCACGCAATGAGGTCCTTGAGCTTCTCAATCTTTTCATGGGCCTCTGGGTGCTCCTGCAGGTACCGCTCTGTAAAGAAGGCCTGGTGGAGACAGGAAGGGCCCCTCAGTACACTGCTTCCCCAGCACCATTTCTGCACACTGACTGCGCACCAGACCCGGGGATAGAGCCATGTGTAAAACAGACCCACCCCTAGGGGATGGACCCTCCCCAGCACTCAGGGCTAAAGGTCTGGTTAACTCAAACACAACAGATGGAGTGAATGGGCAGCCAGGAGGGGCATTTAGGGCGGCACCTCTGTCCTTGGAATCCAGCAAAGCCACAGCTGACCTGGATGACTCAGTCCACTGGGTGGCAGCTCCCTGGTGGCTCACATGCCCTGACTCCCACCCTGCACCCCACCCCGGGCCAGTCCTACACCTAAAGGCGGCTTACAACAGAGAGCTATCTCTCGGTCCAGGGCAATGACTCCTCCTGGCCTGCTCTCCACCTCAGCTCTTACCCTGTCTGGACAGGGGCTCAGCAAGCTTTTCTGTGAAGGGCTTCAATGTTGCCATTGTTCTATCAGGAAAACAGCCACAGACACTAAGTAATAATGGTCGCAGCCGAGTTCCAAACTTGGTATCAAAAACAGAGAGCAGACCGTAGCGCAGACCCCTGGTCTAGACCACACCCACGTCCTTCCACTTCTGCCCCTTCCCACTAAGAGATTTTCCGGGGAGACCAGCTGGCCTGCTCCCCGTACCCACCATGCCTACCTATCCCAAATGTTCTAATTCTTTTGTCTTTCACTACAACTGTATCTCTTGGCCTTTCATGATCCCAGGACTCTTGAGAGCCACCTGAGGGCAGCGCCACAGAGCTCCGTCAGCCCAACCTGCAGGGACGATGCCCAGGGGAGCCATGCCTGGGGTCGGGCCTTGACCTTCCGCAGCCGGCAGGAGCCACCTCTAGGCGGTCCCAGCCTTGGCTCAGTCCCGGCTGAGATCGGCCAGTGAGACCAGCGTAGTTTCTGGGCTGGAAGATACATGTCTGGAGACAGTCTGTCCCAGGACAGGGTGGTACCACAGGCATGTCACGTGCCTTCTCATAATTCGCGAAGCCTCCCATGACGGCAGGGTCCACGATGCCATTCAGGAGCATAGAGAGGGGGTTGATGGGGAGGCTGGGGTCATCCAGGTGCTGCCGTACCATGCTGTGCATCTTGTCGTTGGTCAGCTGCATGGTCTCGATGGCGTTCTCCAGGGGACTGATCTCCACCTGCGGGGAAGGAAGGAGATGTGACTCCAGGCCATCTGCTGCGTCCATGCACCTGGGTCCTCTGTTCATTGTCTGGCCCGTGGGACCTTGCCAGAAGAGAAGCATTTCCAAGGGGGGCCAGGCTTCCTATTCCTCCAGTGCACCTTTCTTCCCAGGGGGGTTTTCGGGGGTGTTTCTTATCTCCCAAACAAGAGCAGCTGGGTATTTTAGTATCATTGTGCATTTCCAATAGGTGTGGCCCTCACATGCAAATTCCAAAGGGGTAACGCAAGGCTGTCTGTCTCTGAGAGGTGTGTGTGTGTGTGTGTGTGTGTGTGTGTGCATGCATACACATGTGGTCTGCTTCTTTTAAACTGGGTAAGATTTTGGACGCCTGCGCGGCTCAGTTGGTTAAGCGTTTGCCTTCGGCTCAGGTGAGGACCCCGAGATCCTGGGATCCAGTCCCGCATCGGGTTCCCTGCTCAGCGGAGAGCCTGCTTCTCCCTCTCCCTCTGCCATTCCCCCCACCCCCACCCCACTTGTGCTCTCTGGCTCTCTCTGATCAAATAAATAAATAAAATCTAAAAAAAAAAAAAAAATGGGCAAGATTTTAAGGAGCAATCCATCCCTGTCCCTGAGGCTGGAGGCCCAGGCACTTTGTAAGACTGCTGTACCTGCTTGGTCAGGGAAAGGCCCTCCTCCCCACATGAGACCACACTCTCTCTCATGAAGGAAGAGCTCCACCACCCAGGGAGAGCACGTCACCGCTGCCAATGGACCTCCCAGGCCTCATCGGAAGGGCTGCCACTGGTCAGCCGGACCCCGTGCAGGAGGCAGGGCACCACCACCCATCCTGCAACTGCCCTCCTTTCTCTGGGGCCCCAAAGCTCCCTGCAAGGCCCAGCCGGGCACGCCTCTCTGGCTCAGCCCTAAGGTGCCACGAAAACATGGCCAGGTTTAAAACAACAGCAACCCCTTCCCACCAGGCCTCACTCTGATAGATGCTGGGCTGGGCCACAAAGCCACGTCCAGGGGTCATCTCAACACACGATCCTTTCCGTCCTCCCAAAGGAGGTGGCAGGGGTCCCTACCCGTGCCTGGGAACCCCAGGGTGTCTGTAGCAAGGGACAAAGCAGAGCAGCCTGCTTTTGTCCTGCTGCAGCTTCTGGGGTTTGTCTGCCGGGCAAAGGGGAGCAGGGGGAGCAGAGACTCGAGAACGGACAACTCTGCTCACGGCTGGCCCCAGGTTCTAGAGCGACGCTTGGAGTCACTGTGGGGGAAGCCACCTGCTCCGCCCGGCCCCTGGCTGGCCCCGCGCCCGATCAGCGTGTACTGCAGGATTGCTGCTCCCACGTGGTCCCACGAGGTCCCTGGCGGGCCCAGAGCCTGGAGCGCAGCATCCCAGGGACACACCTACACCAAATCCACACTCCAGGGCAGTATTCCGTTTTAACTGACTGCTAACTCCCTGCTGCTGATCCCATCTGCCTCAAGAAAGGAGAGTTTCCTCTTTTTATCCAACAAGAGGGCTGGCTGCCACCCCGGGGCATCCCACGGGGGCCTGTCCCGGGAGGCGCACACAAGGGGAGGGGTGTCGAGAGCAGCCCTTGGTTACGCGCTCTGGGATTATTCAGCTTCCAGCCCCTTAGTTTGTTACAAATGGCAAACAGTGCCGATGGCAGAACCACATCTTCACAGAAAGTCAGGGCTCACCCCTCTCCACCTCTGAGCTCTTAAGCTCCTTCCTCTCGAAATCTGGCTGGCTCACGAAATCCCGGATTACTGAGGGCTTTGGGCAGAGGCTCATTAGGAAGATTAGTGCCTGTTTACTCGAAGTCCCCCCACTCCACCCTCTCACACACGTACATCCATCACCAGCTCTAAATGGTGCCAGCAAAGGCTTGCATTTCTGCCACCTGCCACGTACTTTCTGAGCCCTCCATCCATCGGGGCTGCCTGGGTGCTAGGGGGGCATGGAGCGGGCGCTCCCAGAGCAGAGAACGCAAGCGCCCAAGGCAGGGACAGGCACAGAGACCCAGGGCTTCAGAGAAGCAGGAGGGGGCACTGGGATGTGGGGAGCAGATGTGGCCCTGAGCTCAGATGGGCATGGATGACAGACAAGAGAGGAAACAGGGCTGGGAAGAGAGGTTCCAGGCAGGTTCGGGAACCAAATCAGGAGTTTCCAAGGGGACTCACTGTAAACTAAATGGGAGGCACCACCCCTCTGGATAAGATCCTGCTGGCTGAACACAAAAGGCATTGAGACACACGAATCAACATACATATTTCAATCAGATCTCTTTATACCACTCCCTGATACTTCTGTGTATTCAGTAAGAATCTGCCGCCCAACTCCGGTTCACATAGATGAAACTGTCCCATAGCTCACCACTGAGGCAAAGCAAAGTTTAGCTAATGAGATGCGAGTCATTATTTCTTTAAAAAAGTGCCAGTGAAGGGTATATTCTCAAGCTATTTTTACTTGAAATGAGCAAGTACTATTAATCAAGTTGTTTGTCATGTAAATGGCAATAAAAGCATCAGGAAGAAAGATCTTAAAAAGTGTATGTAAATTGGAACTTGTCTTAAACTTTTCATTTAGTTAACAGAAAGAGCTTTCAAAACAGCACAGCGATGACTAGATTTAAATATTTTGTGAGAAGAAAGGAAATCTTAATTCTGGTTTTCTTGTCAGCCAGCTCTGGTTGTGATTACACAGCATTTCTACGACAATATTCGTGGACCGGGAGAGTTGATGCCCCAGGGAACACGCAGGGTGATGATGGGTTAAGTCTTGTCTGACCTGGGGTCCCAGTGTGCGCGCCGCACCCTGTAACAGAGGGGAAAACACAATGCCTTCTGCGGGGGGGGGGGGGGGGATCCTTACCATGAAAACAGATTTGACCTCAAACCACCTTAAAATTCCAGGTAATTTGTACGCCGTGGTGTATATGGTTCTCTCGATCCACATGTTCTGCAAAGGGAACACACACATGGTACTCGTCGGGAGAAGGATGTCAGCAGGTGGACAGCTTCTGCCCTAATGGGGACTGGCCACTCTCTGTGAGGTGGGTCCTCCAGGAGGACGGGTCTCCCTGGGAGGAGTTGCATGCGGCCCTTTTGTGTGCCGTGCCTTGCATGCCGTGCTCTGCCTGTGAGTCAGACGGTCACACGAGACACAGCAGTGTCCCCTGCTTTTGCTGGCCAATGGTGCCAGCCTCCCTGGCATGTGGCAAAGAAAATACAACAGGAGAGTCAGGGAGAATTCCATACGTCAAAACCAGGGAAGTTCCCTCTGAGCAAAAAGATTTTTGAAGAGGCTCCAAGGAGTTCTTTGTTGGCCTGACTTTGGGTTCAACAGAAACCCAAAGGTGGAAAGGCATTAAGGAAAACCGGGTTTCCTGTAAGTGACCGCTCACATTTTGATACGGATCAGTCAGTATTTTAGGCTTCAATTTGTTTCTTGCACAACTGATCTCTATTCCCATTAGAAAATAACGATGTGGAAAAATCACCCACCACCCAGAGATGGTAACTTAAACATTTCAGTATCTGTTGTTCAAGACTTCTTACTAAGCATTAAAAAGCATGTAGATGCATATTTTCAATAAAATACCATTTTATAATCCATATTCTTCATAGAACAGAACACTATGTGTGGCGGGAAACTGCTTCAAGCCAATGAGCGTCACCCCTCTGCGCCCTCAGGCTTTGCGGAAGCCTGTGGCGAGCTAACAAGCGGGGACTCTTTGCCCACCTGTTCCTGCCCAGTGTCAGCTTCCGGCCACCCTCTCCCTGTCCTGGGTCATACTGGGCCGTGCAGGTGTGTTGGGAGTGGTCCGGGCACAGTGGACTGTCAGCAATTCCAGGGAGCCGCACTGGATCTTAGAGAAGCATCCATCCCCCACCTTGAGGCTCCGGAGGGGAGAAGGAAGGGGACCCGGCCAACGCCTCCTGTCTCCCCAGCTAGAGCTTTTTGCCCCAGGAGGAGGCTCCCCCAGGGGCTTGCCAGAGAAAACAGCAGTGTACCCTTTCAGAGCACTGGGACCGCACCTGCCGGGTCTCCCCAGAGGCCAACACGGCCCGAGCAGGGGCCCTGGGCTCCACCGAGGGCTTTCTGGACAACCAACGCCGGCTGACTCAGGCGCTATCTCTCTGTCTCCTTCCTCCTCAGCTGCTCCTGGGCCCCAGGGCTTCACCCCTTGCTCAGCGACCACGCTGAGTGCTCAGGCTGGCCGGGCAGCCCCCGCAGCGTCCCGTCTGCAGGGCCAGGCCACCTGCAACAGGGCCGAGCCCAGCTTCCCATTGCTGCAAAAAGCCCCACGCTTATCTGGAAGCTTTAGGCTTTGTCAGGCATGTGAAGGACTAAATCCCGTGGCTTCTGAAAGCCTCATCCAAGTGCGAGGGCCTAACGGGGCCATTAGGGGATTTCAGGGCCATTTAGAAGAAGCACAGCCTCCGAGGCTTAGTGCAGCCCCAAACGTCAGGGGTCTCGGTTATTCTTAGCTCTGCCCCAAATGGCTGCAACCCCGTTGGCAATTTGCTTGACCTCCTTGCGTCTCTTTCTTTATGATATGAGAATATACACAGCTGCCGGATGCGAGATGTGTGAGGGAAATTCAAGAACTGCCTATAAATCCCACAGTCCAGAGACGCTATATAAACGGTCATGTTGTTGCCACAAGAGACCGCTCAGAAAGCCGCCCCCTTCGCGCTGCTATCTTGTCCCCTCCCACACTATTACAGACAACACCGCAGGGACCAGTTACCAAGTAGGGTATCCTGGGATGCTGGCATTAGCCAAGAAATAGGGTCTTCGTTTTGAGACAAGCAGTGTGGGAAGTGGGAACGACTACAGTTCCCGGAATACAAGCTCACAGCAGACACCGAGGAGATGGCTCAGGCAGGAAGGGCCTTCAGCACTGTGACTGGAGACTCTCAGGCCCCGCCCTGAGGATCAGAAGATTACAGGAAACGGAGAGCTTCAAGGGGAGGCTGGACAGAAGCACTGTGGCTGGAAGTGCCCCAAACTTCACTCTGGGTCAGGTCACCTTTGATCTTCTGCACCCCCAGACACCTCCCGACTATAGGCAAGGGGATGCAGTCCCCAGCAGAGCTGCTGGTCCTCCTTGGGGGTCCTTGCGGCTAGTAGGTCCTGGAAACACGGGCCTATCTAGGGATTCCCAGAGGACGTTTGCAGGGCAGAAGGAGGGAGAAATTTTAACATTTTTAAAAACTGTGCTTTATTGCAAAGAATTGATTTATTCTTTGCAAATGGAAACCATCAAACCAGTTGTATGTATATTTTTTAAAAAGCTGCAAAAACTTTCATTAATATTTCTACGACTAATGCAGGGGACAACGTATGATAACTTTTTTGGTTGGCTGTCACAACTGGGGAGGCGCTACCGGCGTCTAATGGGGAGAGGGTCAGGGATGCTGCTCAATACCCTCTGAGGCACAGGGCGGCTCCATCACAGAGAATCACCCGGCCCATGACCCCGTGGCGCCCAGGAGCACCTGCTCTGGTGCCCTGAGCCTCAGGGAAATTCAGGCGCTGGACAGTGAGTGTCTGGGTCTCTGCCCTGCTCACCTCTGGCTGCTTGTCATCAGCAGAAAGCCCCTGAAGTGCTCGGTCCCTCTGTGTGTCTATCTGTATTAGACACACCAGTAGGGTGCTCGGGGGCCCGGGACCCAGAGGGAGACGACTCAGAGAAGCTGAGGAAGGAGGCGAGTATGCCCGGAGGGTAAGAAGCAGGGTCTCAGCACTCGGGCCCTTCTGCTAGCACCTTAAGGCCTCAGCGACATCCTCTGTGAGATGTTCACCCTTCACTACAGTTGAAGGGGTTAGGATTTGGTATTTGGATTTCTGCACACAAGGTACAAACGCATCTAATATGCCCTGTGGTCGCCTCTGAGGCCGGTTTTCCACAGGTAGTGTTGCTGGTGGTAAAAGAGTTCTTTGGGGGTTTTTTGGTGGTTGTTTTTTTTACCGCAAATTCATTGTCTGGGTTTTTCTCTCCCTTGCGGATCGGCCGAGAATATTCAAATCGCTGGACCTCGTTCACCCTATAAAAACTGTAGAGAGACAGACAAATCGTTAGACATTTAACCCCAAAGCAGCCGATATGCTTTTAGACATGGGGTCTGGCCTCCTGATAGGTCCCTGCGTCCCTTAAAATATCCCCAGCCTTGACCCCGAGCAACAGCTGTGGCTTTCTCTCCCCGCCAGCCTCGGGAGAGAGATGCTGGCAGATGGAAACATTACCTTGAGTTTTTGCCTCTTCCCTGTCCCTGCAAACCCTCAGGGGAGAAGAGACCTGGAGTAAGAGCGAAGCAGGCACACGCAGAGAGAAGGTGAAGCGAAGGAGAGCGGCAACAGGCCTGCGTCCCCCACTCCTGTGTTTACTACTTCAAAATCTTCATTTATTTTATCAGTTTAATTCAGTGATTCAACAATTTATTAAAAGAACCTAATAACGTTTTTATTAAATTTTTTAAAAAATTACGTGTTTATTGTTTTTATAAAGACCTTATATACCTTAGTTTCAGCTCTACAGAAGGCAGAGTCTGTAACCACAAAGGGTGGCACACACGACAAGTGTGTACTTTCTTTCCCTGGGGAAGGGGTGGGTGGCGCGCGTAAGCCAGAGGCAGACTCATTCCTCCTCAGCCCTGAAATGTCGGCCGCCTCCCCACGTCACAGCGAGATCGCCGAGCATCAGCTACGATTCGCTATTGGCTTTAACACCTCTTCCTGAAACAAACTGTTGCAAAACTTGAAACAGGTGCCTTGTGAAAGCAATCGTTCATCAATAAACAGAGTCCTAGCTGACTTCCCATTATGGCTGATAAAAGGTTAAAGAAAGGAGAGTGAATTTTGAGGAAGAACACAACCCACCAAACTTCAGGATATGAAATAAGCAGATTCTGAGCATTACTAGGCCATGGAACAGGTTAATTTCTTAACCAGAACATGGATCACATAGAAAAGAAAATTCTTGACATCAAAGAAACCTCTAAAGCAGACAGTCTCTACAGCATTGCTAGGTCAGGGGCAACTCAATGTAGAGGCATAAACCCTCAAATTCGGAGAGCCGACCAGTGAGTCTAAAAATCTGCCTCATAATCCTATGTTATATAATCGTGGTGTTGCAGGGGTCTAAGGGTTCTCCACCCAAAAAAGCAAATGACCCAATTCCTTTTCCTGCCTTACGGCATGCAAACACTCTGGTCCTCCTCCCCAGGTGTGGGGACTCAGAAATGCTGGGTTGGGGCTGGGCTGGAGCCCTGCTGAGAAGCTCTGCAGGGAACCCCCACCCTCCCCACCGCCAAGAAGGTCACAAGGAGACCAGAGTGCCCCCTCTGTCCTCCCGAGTTTTCCTCATCTCCCCACATCAGGAAAGGAATAGTTCTCGTGCCGTCCAGCAACACACACTAACTTCTTCCTTCACTGTTTTGATGCTGCAAAGAATTTGCTTCCCTTGCTCTTCTAAGTAAACAGAAAGAGCATCTGGAAAGCTAATCAAAGGCTAAAACCCACCCTTTCAAGAGTGAAATTCTTAGCTCACAGCCCTTCACCGTCCTCACGGTGTGTAGGAGAAATGGGGTGCTTACCTTACAATCTGCTCCGACACAGGCCTGTGAAATTTCAGGGGCAGATCGAGTTTGGGCTTTACGGTGAAGCACTGAATATCTGAGGGCGAAGGGGGTTAAGGATCACCAGGAGGGGTGGACATCAGCCGTGACGGGGCCCCCAGGTCCACCCACCCACCTGGGCGCACAGCATGGTGATGGTGTCACGTTCCATAGGGGTGTCGGAAAGGATACACTGGCCAGGAGAGTTTTTAATATCATCGCCTGGTGGAGATGTTGTCTTCATTTTCTCAGCATTCGGGAACTGAGTTAACAGCCGAGCTTCAAAATCTTCCCTGCGTTCATACTCTTTCCCTCGGTAAATGAAAACTTTCCCCTGGAAACAATGACATTCATTAAATACCACCACAGGGGAAGGCCAGGACCTGTGCATATACAACAAATGCACTGGTCTTCAAAATATGCTTGAGAGGTTTTTTGTTTTGTTTTGTTTTGTTTTGTTTGAAGTTGCTGAATTGAAGAACAGCTTGTAATTGCACTGGCCGTTATTAATCAAGAAGGCACAGCCACGAGCCACATAAGTTAATAGTATTTAAGAAGCACTGAACACAACATTACTGAGATCCGCTGATGTATTTCAGTCTTAACAGTAACAATCAATTAAAAAAACAGGAAGAACCAAGTGAGCGATCGGGGTCCGCCTTCTAGGGGGCATGAGGTGCCCAGAGAGGGTAAAGGCATCAGGGCAAGTGGGTCCTGGTCTCCATGTTTTTCTTTTCGGGTAGGCCCTGATTAAATAGCTTTCATCCTCTGAGAGGAATTTAAGAGAGGACGACATTGAGGTGGGGCCTCAACGCTCAGAGCCTGAGCATGACGTTCTGAGCCGTCTCCGACAGGACACAACCAAGGGAAGAGCTGAACCACAGGGAATGGGGTCGAGACCAAAGGAGAGAGGCGTGAGGGCCGTGGCCTCCCCGGGGGTGAGAGACCGGAGAGGGATGACAGGACTTCCCTCACCGCATGTCAGCCTTGTGTGGAGAATTACCCACTGGTGAGTGACAGGTAGAACATCAGAGTTCTCCTTCTAAAGGCTGGATTTTGTCCATCTTCAATGGCGCTTTGTCACCTCCATAAATCCCAAGTTGGAGAGTCCATTGGGGGGTGATTTTCGAGGGCGAGGGGACCTTGGGGTGGGTGTCAGGCTGGCGAGCATTCTTCCTTACACAGGCTGCCCTGTTGAGGCCATTTCTGTCTGGGTATGACACGGTCCCTCCCTAAATGTACCTCTAGGGAATTTTCTGATTCTAAGATATAACAGGTCTCTGTACCTTCACAGATTCAACAGTGTGTTCTGAGCTGTCTACTGAATCACAGAAAGGTGGCAATGGGTAGTATGATGCCACTGCGGGCTCCCGAGCCTTCACCCCCTGCCTCCCAACATCCTGCCCGCCCCACCCTAGGGCTGTCTGATCCTAAAGGAAAACTGCAACAAGGAAAAGACACCACAGGATCCGAGAAATGGGAGGCTGGAGGCTGATGCTTTTCCTCATGGGATCTGTTGTTTCAATCAGGGGACCCTGAGCCAGAGGCCCCAGACTGGCTGGCCATGAGTCAGATGCAGCCCTATTATCTGCCATGACCCCGGCCAGATGCCAGAGAGAAGGAGAGACAGACAGCCAGACAGGATAGCATTCCACTGGCTATTTTTACACTTATCTCCTAGAGACTAAGTGTGAAGTCAAATTAAAATTTGTCTAATTAATGAATTTTCAAAAGATAAAGAGAGATCCTGTGGTACTCAATTTATTTCCTTCCCTAGCCCTGACTTATTCTGAGTCCCTGTAAATCACTAAAGAAGGAACACTTTAAGAACTGAATATTTTTTTCACTTTGTGCTTAGGTATGTCTTAAAGTACCCATTACGGAAGAAAAATGTTCTCTTTCCCTAAAAAAATAATGTCAAGCAGAAACCAAAGTAATATGTAGTCTTAATTAGAAATATAAATACACAGTGTGGGCATCTTTTAAGGCTACATAAAGCCAAATATTTCAGAAATTCAGGAAGATTTAATGAATAACAGGTTACTATGAACTCGCATGCATTTATTATGCTTTACTCTAGAAGACATAATAATAAAATGTATATAAAGGCTTTAATAGAAAAACACTAGTGGGTAATAGATGAAAACACTACTGACATTTTCTAGAAATGTCAATCATTTTGCATTCTGAAGCAGTCCCTTCAAACGTGAAAACAAGGGGGAAATGTATATACAGTCAAAGATATTTATTCCTTGTAAGCACCATAAATATTAACATGAAGGCAAAACAAAACAAAACGAAAAAACAACCCACTGAGACCAATTCTTAAAGAAAAACAAAGCAAAAGGGACAGTCAGTTCTCAGAGGCATTAAACAGACAAACACTTCACCCGCTTTTCTGTAACTGCTAATGTCATTGTCAGATTGGCCCCTGACAGGTGATCTGTGAAGCATAATAAATATATTGCTATAGTCCCACGAAATTATTCAGGTGTGGTGGGGACATCAGTTCAATATTAATCAAGCCTGTTAAACTCTTCATTTGCACTTTGCACTTTGTCCTTCTGACGGGGAGATGACCCGGTGCAGTCCCTGAAGCACACGGCACGTGTGCCCTCCCAGCAGACGCCAGACATCAACTGGCTCGGGGACTGCAACGTGCCTGCCCTGCCCCCAGCACGTTAGGAAGCCAGGGCAGAGCCATGGTTAGTGGCCGTGAGTGACAGCACCATCCAGAGGGCCACATACAGGGTGTAATGCCTCAGCACAGCTCAGGTCCGCCACGATTTAGGGTCAGTCTCTCTGTTTCTTAGAGACACACATGGGGACACGCCTACAGATTCATATGTATTAATTGAAGCCTTCAACAACACTGACTCCAAGCTCCTAATATTCTTCAGCTGGGTTTTTTATTTAAAATAGAGTTAATTTCAAAAATCTTCCCTAATTTAGGGGAAGATTTATAACCTAATTTATAACCAAACGTCCCTATTCATTCTTTGGGAAGAAGATGTTCTCCAGAATCTGGGTTTCTGACTGACCGCTGTCTTAGGCATGTCCTGTCACAGCTGCACGAGGAGAGGAGCGACCAGCAGTGACAGGGTGGGGCTGATGCCCCAGTCACCCAGGACCCCGAGGGAGTGCATAAACCAACAGGTCACCTTCTGAAGCAGAGCAGTCCTGTGAGGCTCGCTTGCGGATGTCATATAAACAACGTCGGGTCCTCAGCAAGTAAGTCCTTCCTGCTGGTGGCACCATGAAGGGTGTCTCATCCTGTCAGGGTCTTCTGTGTAATCAGAACCACCAGGCCCAAAGGAACACACTCTGGGACAAGAAAAACCTCCTGACTGGATCTAACTGCCCCAGACAGCTGTGTCCTAGGCAAGAGACCACCTTCCCGGAAACCAGAGGAATCCCGCATGGTTTCCCAGCATAAGAGAAAACCATGTGTCTTAAAAAAAAATGTCGTAAGAAATGACAGGAAATCATGACCCACTGGTCAATGGCAACCAAGAGAAACTTTAAACAATTCTACTAGTAGGTCAAACAGCATTTATTTACACGATTTCTCCTCTGGCCTCATGAGTGCTAAGGAATGGGCATCCGGCTGACGATCACGGTATTTCTTCGATCATGTGTCAAACGACACACACCTGTCTACGGGATGGAACGTGATTCAGAATCCCCAGCAATGTGGCCATGGAAATCCACTTACAATTGCTCATAGAATTAAAAATATACACATTCATGGCAGTATTATTCACAATAACCAAAACAACCCAAACGTCCATCGAAGGACAAATGGATAAACAAAATGTGGTATAGCTATATAATAGAATATTATTCAGCCATAAAAAGGAAGGGAATTCAGATACATGCTCCAACACAGATAAACCTTGAAGACCCTATGCCGAAAGAAATGGGCCAGACACAAAAAGACAAACACCGTGTGATTTTACTTTATGAGATACCGAGAATAGGCAAATTCCTAGAGACGTAAAGTAGCATGGTGCTGCCAGGGGCTGGGAGGTGGGGTAATACAGACCTAACTGTTTAACTGGGTACGGAATTACAGTTTGGAGAGATGAAAAAGTTCTGGAGATGGATGATTGCACAACAATATTAATACCACTGAACTGTACACTTAAAACTGGTTAAGATGGTAAATTTTATGTTATCTGTATTTTACCACAATTTAAAAAAACACACGTAAATCTCCAGTTCTGTTTAGGGAAAATCAGACGGGAAGTTTATATGCAATCAAAGAAAATATTATCAGGCCTTCTTTCACACCCTAAGCTAAGCACACAGAGCTATGAAGAGCACGGATTCAGACTCTGACCCACGGATGCAAAGTTCAAATCATCCATCAGAATGGGAAGGAGCTCTCTGGCCATGGAGCAATCCTGGCTCAGATTAAACAGAATCAAAATTTACCCGAAGGAACGTGGGGAATCCTTGTCCGTAGTAGCCAACAGCAAAATAGTCAGGCTTAGGTCTTATCACTTTGACGATGTTTTCATAAAACTGAGCCTGTTTTTTCTGAAAGGAAGAAAGAAAATTTCAGGTTTGAATAGAGTATTTGAGCATCCATTCTTCCAGAATCTTCCAGTGGGCTCTTCAAGCTTTGGCAATTCCAGCTGGGTGGGAGGCGCAGTGTGGACACAGGCATACTGGTCATCTTGCCACATGGCTTTGATAGAATTTGTCACTCACTCCCAGTGTTTAGCAGGGAATCTGACCAAAAGAGCCAAATTCAGTAACCAGTAGGATTTACCCATGTTTTCGATAACCAAAGAGGTGCCATAGAAATGGTTTTTCTTATGATTAAATGGCTGGTCTTTATTATTTTAAAAACTGGTATCAATTAGATACTGGCATACATTAAAGAAGAACTTAAAAGGGCAGAATTCTGGTCTAAATTAATGGCGGGAGAAAGGTCTGGGCTACTCTCCCATCACGTACCCCCCTTGTAGACGGGGTCAGTTTTAATCCAGCAGCAATTCTCAGAGACTCTTAGGCCGTCAAGAGCACTGTACACATGGGGTCAGCGGTTGTTTACATACAGAGGCTCAGAGAAATCTTAGAGTCTGGTTTCCAGAGCTCAGGTGGGAATAAAAGTGAGTAGTTGTGGGCCAGAATCAGCCCGCAAATACATGAAGACCTTCCTCCTGGACAAAATGGAGGACCATGGCCAAGGCCGCAGAAGACCTGAAGAGACTCTCCAAGTTAAAACTGAAAGGGAAAGCCCAGAAAGACAAGTGTAGATCGCCTGTGTTCATTTAACTAGAAAGAAAAGGAGACCTACCAGCAACTCGCTGAGTTGTTCGTAATCAAACATCTCGTTTTCATACTGTTCGGCAAGTTCCTTACCAAGAGCAATGGCCTCTTCCCACATCTGTGAGGAAAAAGAAAGAAAAAGGAGAAACAGAAACCCAACGCTGAATGGTGCAGTCAAGGAATGAAATAATACAACTGCTCATCATAAAATAATTTGGAAATACACTTGCCAAATCTGAAAACACTACAGAATAATGTTAGAAAAATACAAGTATTTTCTAGAGGCTCATGTCCTTTGGCTCATGACCAGACGCCAGTTGACTAAACGGGTCCACTATTGGCTTGCCAGTCATGTTGGCCTCTGCCCAGGGTCAGAGCAGTCTGGTCGCCAGGTCTGGCCCGCTCCGTCCTCTCTCCTGCTGCCAGGATGGTTGCTGAAGCCCATCCATCGGAGCAGCAGGGGAGCTGGTGGAAGGAACCGCCGTGCACGAAGAGGCTACAAGGAGCCTGGTTTTCCTACTTTCCCAAATCATCCCAGTGAACAAACACTGGACTGTCAGAAAGAACAAGATATATTTCAACTCTAAATTAAAGCTCGCAAGGAGTTGGTTTCTGTGTGCAAATACTATGAGGCTATAAAGCCTGCCATCATTTTGAAAGGGGGAACTTGTTGGGGTAGTAGTTTGAAAGGGGATTTCCAATCAGGTAACTGATTTATTAGAAAGCTGATAAACTTTGGACATTATGGAATACTTTGTTGATGCATATGGTAAGACCTGAATTTCCCTTATTTTTCTTGGGGAAAAATAAAGTGGTTTACTCGAGAAGAATAGGTCACATATGGAGGAACCATCTCCTCCAGGAAGCCTTTCTGGGTGCCAACTCTCCTTGGGCTCCCATGATGACCCAGGATCCCCTGAGTTCCAACCTTCTGGTTATGTACAGAAACTGGAGTGCTTCTTTGTTATTCCTTCTCAGAGACCACAAGCCCCTTGAGGAACTGAGCGTTAACGAAAACAACTAGACCTCAGCCGAGGGCCCGCTCAAGAATGTTTATCCAAAGAACTGAAGGTTGTTGACTTCAAATCAGGAAAGCACCACACCATCCCACATACTGTCCCCAGCCAGGAACCATCCATTTCCCGACCGCCACCATTCCCACAAGATGATAGCACTCAAGTCAGGACAAGTGATTCCAAGCTTGCTCTCTGTCCAGCAACTCCCTTGTCTTGTCAGGCGGGACTTCATTATACCCATTTTGCAGATAAGGAAGCTGGGGATTAGACAGGTCAGTAAGTTGCCCAAGGGCACAGAGAGGTGTACCTGGCCCAGCTTGATCTTTTTCCAAAGTTCTTGCTTTTGATGACTGTCTTAGTTTGGGCTGCTATAATAAAGTACCATAGATGGGGTGGCTTAAAAAGTAGACATTTATTTCTCACAGTTCTGGAGGCTGGGAAGTCCAAGATCAAGGTGCAGGCAGATTCAGTTCTTGGTGAGGGCTCTCTTCCTGACTTGTGGACCAGCACCTTCTCACTGTGTGCTCACAGGGCCTTGGGCGAGCTCTCTTTCTCTTCTTAGAAGAGCAGGAATCCCATCATGGGGGGTCAACCCTATTCATGACCCAGTATAAACGTATTTACCTCGCAAAGGCCCCATCTCCAAATACTATCACGTGATGGATCAACATATGCATTTGGTGGTTAGGGGTGGGAGGTGGGATGCAGACATTCAGCCCATAACAATGATGATGTGCTAGCACTTGCAGCTTCTCCCACCCCCTCCTACTGAGATGGGTCTGAAAGGATACTAGGCTAGTCAGGAATTCCAGGCTCCCACTGAGAACGCAAGCTGCCGGGCCCCTTCCTGGCACACCCTTATCACTGAGGACTCATCTGCTGGTTGGTCTTTGCTTCTTAGTAGAATGACCCATGGAGGGTCTTACGTATTAGTGAACAGCCCAACAGACTTAAAATACTCTTTATAGCTACGACTTAAATAAACCATCTGCTATTTTTTTATGAGGAAAAAAGTTCTTCTGGAATAAGAGTTACACTTTAATAGTCTGCAAGACAAAATAAAAATAAGCCCAGAGTACAGAAAGATTTCTGAGATGGGACTAGTGCCCAGGGAAGGGAGAGAGTGGCCACGATGCCCTTCCTGGGTCTGAACACCTATTCTCCCTCCCAGAGCCGCCACAGTCTCCATCCTGCTGGAACTTTCAGAGCTGCCTTGCCTTCTCTGAATATTTTAATCTGCTGCTCGAGATCCTCCCCGGGGTCCTCTGCCAGGGCCCAAGCTCACGTTTCTGGGAAGGGCCTCTCTCACTTCCAATATTTCTTTTAAGCTCCAGTGACCAATTCCTCCTTTAGAGTATTTCCATTTCAAAGAAAACATTACTTTTACTTGTGATTCTCTGTCACAATTTTTCTTTAAGTTTTCTGTAAGCAAACACGCACTCTATTAGCTGCCTAGAGTGTCCGAGTGTCTAATTTATTACTGAGTAAAAGCTTAATCTGTTTTTATCCTAAATGACAGATGAGATGCTTTAGATACATATCAAAAGTAATTGTTCTTTTTTTTCTTTTTTTTTAAAGTTAGTCTTGAATGGGCACCTGGGTGGCTCAGTTGGTTAAGCGACTGCCTTGGGCTCAGGTCATGATCCTGGAGTCCCGGGATCGAGTCCCGCATCGGGCTCCCTGCTCAGCGGGGGGGTCTGCTTCTCCCTCTGACCCTCTTCCCTCTC